ATTCTATGATTCTATGATTCTATATCATGCAAAAACATAGGGAAGCAACAGGAATTACTTAAATGATAAAATCACACTTAAATTAGTAATAGCAAGTACAATCCAACCTGGACTCAAGATGAGGGTATCAGGGTCAGTAAATCTATATGCTTTTACCCTTAAAAGCTAAGATCACCAAACAGCAAACTGAACGTGACCTATTCCAGAAACAAAATGCACCACTGCACTTGCAATGAAAGAGATTCCTACAAACCTTCGCTGCAGCACATATTAACAATGATTTCCAGAGCAGTCTGCTGAGCCATCAGTAAAGCTGTCACTTCGTTCAGTTCCCACTTATCAGACTAAAAAATGAAAACATGAACTACATTTAATTTTGCAAAACATAATTTCAGTGCATTTAAAGTACTCGAGCCAAAAATACAATCTAGCCATTTCCTCTTCTCATCCTATATCAAAACTTTAAAAAAATCCCACAAATCTAAGAGGCATTATCTATCATCTTACTGCTGTATGTTTCAGAACAAATTTTACTTTCAAGAAAGGCCACCTGCACTCAAGTTGTAACAGAAATGATTACCTAATGTTCAGCTAAAGCCTTAACAGAAATATGTATTTCTGTTATTCTTTTCATGTGCACAATAGCAAACGCATTTGCTAATCTCTGAGCCATCTCCTCTCACGACTGAATAGGAACCACCATCAAAAACCTCTCTCGCCTTACTCAGAAATCAGGACTTCCTGCAGTAGCTACAGGTAGAAGTGTCAGATAAGCCTGTGCCTTTCACTAGAGGTAAAAAATGGAAATGCACTTTCCTGATGTGCCGTGCAACTTGATCACATTGGCACAAGCTGTGCTGAAATTCTCCATGCTCATCCTTGAGTTTTAGCTAAAACAGTCAAGCTGTTTGGCAGTTAAGATTTCGGAACACTCCTAGGAAGTTTACTCCGGCTACTGCTGAGGTAAGACCAGGCCGATGCTCAGCCAAAAGCACGAGGGTGTCAGTGGAGAAGCCAGCCACACTTACTGGAAGTAGATCTGAAATGTCATTTTCTCTCCGGACTTTTCCTTTTGGTATTTCCTCCATGCCATCATCTCCACTCAAAACACAATTGTCTATAACGTCACTCATGCCTTCCTCTGTTTCTGCCTCCGCAGCAAGTTTTAACCTGTTTTTTTCAACTTCATTCATACGAATAATCATTTCGCCAGCATCTATTGCTAGCGATTCTGAAAAAATCTTCAGGATTGCATTAACCACGCTGCCCAGGCTGCCCGGTGGAATGGTATCCTTGATATTCCAGGTAGTGCCTAAACACAAGATAGTTGAAATACAAAAATTATTAAAATATTCAATTTCCAGCTCTGTAATAGCCATATGTTTTGTAAGGGTACAGCTTCCACTACTTAAAATACTTGGCGCTTATATTTCAGTATGAATGCTCAAGTCTTTTCTCTACAGACTTGTATTATTTGTTTAGCATTTCATATACTTAATCTGTAGGAACTGTGTTTTGCCCATATCTTAAGCTCAAGTAAATTTCAGCATGTTACTACAGAGAGTATTTATGTGGAGCGACCTTGGTGATGCTTTTTACCTGTGAAAAATCCACATGAGAGAAGAATTTTCTAAGGAGTCTCAAAACTAATTTATTACACTCCAGTATCAAAAATCACCATGTTTGAGCATTTATGGCAGGAAGAAGAAACCAAGGTAGAGAATCTGAGATAAAAAGCGAAACCTATTAAGATCAAAACAATTTCTGTACTGCTAATTATTGACTCGTGTCACTGCTGAAAACCAAATGAACAATTAGAATGGGTTATCACTGGGCAGGTACTGAATTCAGAATCAAGCATTTAAGGCTGTTAAAACTAGCTGCAGGTATCTGCTCCCTCCAAAACACAACCCCAAAAGTCAGAAATAACTTCATGAACCATCTATACAAGCCTTGTGGATCAGATGTCCAGGCCATAGCAGGGAAGACTAAGCCTTCTGTCCTTCCCACACCCCTTTCCCTGCCGTGCTCTCCAACACAAAACCAAGGAGGCCCTGAGCACCGTACCTGCTATCAGCGTTCTCAGGAGGACATGCTTCATTGTGCTGTCTGGACACAACATCACGGTTTCCAATACTTGTTGTGCAGATGCATTAAATGAAGAAAGAAGATCTGGATTATCTTCTGTCACTGCCTGCAAGCAGTTTGCTGCAGCAAACAACAAAGATAATTAACAAACCCAACAGTAGCTTTCACTCTCCTAATGAGAAAGCATTATCTTCCTCAAAGTTGGAGTAATGAAACACAGGCACAGGAACAAAACATTGCATGCAGCATCCTGTACGGTGTGACACTGTCCTTCGCAAGCTGCGTTTCAGATTAAAAGCCATTCTATGGCAAACCTGTACATAAAGAGGTGAGGACAGTACCACATTCAGACATGGGACTAGTTGTATTCACTTCATCTACACAAACCTACTCAAAGTTCAATTTCTCCACTGTACACTGACGTGGAGAAAAGAGGTAGGGAGTTGTTTGAGGGGTTTATATATGGATTATGTCCTTTGCTCTACCAGTTAAGCCCTTCATTATCAAAACCAGAAAACAAAGTGAAAAAGCACAGTCTCCAGGTAAGACTTCCTTTCCACAATTTTATTCCTCCCATGTAACCACCAATAAGCCATTCTCCTTTGACTGAAAACAAGAACAACAGATGTCAGCCTCTGAAAGGAATTTGAAGAATATTCCATGTACAGTTTAAGTAACGCTAAGGCAGGCACATGATGCAATGGATGCGACATCAGTGTCACGCCCACATACTGAAGAAAAAAAGAAAAATAGATCTTTAAATCCTTATCTTTTGACCACTTACCTACTGAAATAGCCAGATCCACATTTGTAGAAAACTTCTTCATGTAATGTAACACAGCCTCCAGACATCCTTCTTTATTAAATATGTGTACTGCGGTATTGTTGCATTCACTAATGCATGAAAAAGATTAATAAAACATTTTTCCCAGAAAAAAAACACTGTAAAAACATTTTAAGTAACATGTACTCACTACTACTCAGATTTTAAAAACCTACCTAAGCATTACACGTTAGCCAAAGAGTTATCCTTTGTTATGGAGGTTACGATTGACTCTACATAAAATGCAGAAAGAGAAGCTGCAACGCTCTGGACACCTTTGACAGAAGCAGGTTTCAGCCAGCTGCTTCCTCGCACACAGTATTGGGAGCCCGAGACCTGCCTCATGCAGCCAGAGTGTGAAGGGCAGCTTTTAGAGCCGTGGGCTACAAGCCAGCCCCGGGCTTTTTGCAGCCAGGGAAAATTTCACCCACAAACCCACTGACAATGGAGCAGGCTGTTGCCTCTTACATCAGTAGTCACTTCCTCTAGAAAATGACTGCTCTTAACATTCAGAAATGCATGATAAACCAATGCCAAATGCGACATTTAAGTAAATCATCTAACAGTAGCATTTGTGTCTCTGAGTTTTCACAGCTATTCCCATTCTAATACTAGTGTATTGATAAAAGACAAATTCCAACTAAAAAAGCACAGGACCTAGCTAGCTACAAAAGTCTTCAAAAATTTATTTCTGAAAGTATTGTGTCTCAACATCAACACCAGCCCAAATTTTATCAGCACCAAACTTTGCAATGAAGTCAGCAGTTCAGTCATTGCCACAAGGTTCAAAACACAGAAGTGATTTATAGCACATTTAATGATTATAGTTCCTGTAGCACTTACGTCTATGAAAGCAATAATGAAAAAAACCAAACACAAAACATTGTTGAGTCAGATTTACAAAGCATCACGCATTCTGTGTAAGGTGCTGAGCAAGCAGCTTCTGTACTATTCTAGATTCCAATCCCTAAAAAAATAAAAATACAATTTACAAACAAGGCCTCGAGCCAGCAGCCACAGCACAGACGCACAGGCAGCTCCACCAAAACACTCTACAGCACAAAACAAAATTCTGTGTGGAACAAAATGCGTAATAACGTGGAGTTGTTACAAAATGAAGAGAAGTAACTCAAAATTCAAGGACAACTTTCAGAACAGGTTTGTATCACTTCAGTGTTTATAGCCATTTCTGTATTAATAGCATTGCTGCTTCTCTTCCTTCACCTGGTATTTCCAACATAAACCCCTAATTTAACTGCAAGGACAGTCATTTCTGCTTCAATAAGCACGCTATTTTTCAGAAACTATTTAATTTAGCTCTTCTAAAAAGCCAGTGTTTACACAGCACTTACCATACGTTCCACAGCAAATTAATAGCTTCATTGGCTATGTCTTCAACATAATTTTTGTTCCTCTCTCTACATTTCTTTGGAGAGAGCTGGTTAGCATCTAGTCCAGCGCTACACTACAACCAAACAAGAGAACCAGGGTTGGGAAACAAACAAGCCAAGAAGAGAAGCAAAAGCTTAAAAACATTAGCAGCAGAGTTCATGGAGAGATCTCTCATGAAGTGGTTATTATCAGAAAACCTGACTAGTTTCCTGTTCTCTATGAACAGGGCAACAATGGAACCAAATCATTGATAACGTTCTTTCTCTTGTAGAAAGACTCCTGCAGTATTTGCAAGAAGCACTTTTTAATAAAGAATTACTTAGCAATTTTAGAACCTGAAATGCTGCTTCTTGCTAATACAGTCTGTATGCAGTTTTCAACAGCTCTTTCTAACGACACAGATCAATTCGGCCAGCATTGTCCCGCACTTTACAATAATGCTACTACCCACATTTTAAAATGGGGAAGAAACATACAGAAAATGATGGTATTGCTCAAGACTGCTCGTCGAAAGACAGCAGACGACAGAATTCAATGCAATTTCCAAACTGCACTGCAATACCTGGACCAAACAAAGAGTAAGCATTCAGTACAGATTCTTCTACAATAGCAGTAACTACCCAACTCAAAATCCAAGTGTTCACGTAGACAACACTGTTTATCAAAAAAACCTCACTAGAATACTGTTGCAACGTAAATGTTGGATCTGGATATCGACTGACAGAATAGACTTGTCTTGACTGATGATCCAGACCCAAAATCTCCAGACCATTTATGCAAAGTTTATCCTAGACAGCAAACCTCACCACAGACCTCAGTTAGCTGGTCAGAGGGCAGAAGCAAGTGGTTCAAAATCACTGGAATAACTGTTGTACTATTAGATACATTCTTTTAAAAGATCTTTTAAATATCTTATCCTGATGATAGCTAGAAAAAACTAACTATTTTTGAAACGAGGATAATTCAATGGCTCGATCAGTTGTAAAATCAGAATAAACATACCTCTTTCAGAAGTGCAACAAGGGGAGTCATTATGTCTTTTGTCACCATGTCATCACAGACTTCAAATCCTCCACAAGCACTCAGATTTCTAAGGGAAAAAAAATGCTTTGCATCAGATAAAATGCTTTCCAGGAATGAGCAAGAAAAACTCCTCTCTCAGGGACTTTGACTGACATGGGCATTAGTTACTCAAAACAGAGTTAAAGCAAGAGAGGCTGGCATTCAAGCTCACAGCTTTTAACAGCAAAAACCCGCTCTTTTCTTCACCATTCCAGGAGGACCTCATTCTAACAATGTTAAGAATTGCTCACCGGAGAGCACCTGCGGCTGTTTCACGGACAGCTAAACTGTGATCCATCAGCAACGGTCCTAAACACCGGACAACATCTCTCTGCAGAAAGGCTGGGATTACGTGCTTCTGCTGCAACAGCTTGGAAATGCTGGCACAGGCATACTCTCTCACCTCGGCACTTGGATGCTGCAGCTGGGGAGACACAAACAGGGCAGACTAGGGGCGAGGGAAAAGGTAGCTGAAGTTTTTATTGAGTCAAATGACTAATGTGCCTTTTGATTTGCAGGCCCAGTCCTGTAGCACCTGTCTACTGCTCCTGAATGAAAGCAAGAGTCCATGGAAGTTTATAAACCTTTGCCGGGTTATGTGTGTTAACTATATGACCAGATAAGTACCATTTTGGGTGTTTAACAAGAGAGCCATAGTTCAGACACAGATCAGACACCAGCTGGCACTGGCGAGACCTCATATCTACTTTTGATTACCGTGTTTTAAAAAATGGACAAAAGTGGGAGGAAAAATACTATCTAGAAAGTGTAAAAGACTAACATATGTCACCATAAAGAAAAACTGAAGAAGCAAAAAATACAAAAAACAATGAAAGCATCTCATTAAGGACAAAAAGCAAGTGTTCTCTGTGCCCACAGGATGACACTGATTTGTGCTGTAGCAGAGGTTTAGGTGAGATGTAAGAATTGCCAACCATAAAAACAGTAAAACAGCAGAAGTGCCTACCCTTAAAGGCCATGGCATTCATTGAAAGTCTATCAGAAGAGATAAACATCTGCTGAAGAGCAGAGTATGCAAGAGTAGTACATCAGATACCACCTCGCTGAAACCGACAGAGGTCTCTCAGCTCATCCTCACCTGTGCATTTATATTTTCTCTTTTTTTTTAAACACTAAAGAGATCGGTTCAGAAAAACAACCAAGCAGTGGTTAACTCAATGAGGTGAACAAAAGAGATTTATTGACTTAAAGGAATATAGATTTTTACTTCCGATCCTAAAGTCACACGCGCAGGAGGTTTAAACTAATGCTCGTCTGTAACACTTAAGCCCAAAACAGCAACGTGGCCAAACCCCGTCTTTCTCAGCATTTTCTCTCAGCTATCGCTGACCTGCGGGTCTCGGGCTCAGGTTCCCCGGGGGAGCTCTCTCCCGTGGGGCGGGATGAACCTAAGCCCCGGCCCAACTCCTTCTCAGCCTCTCCCG